CTCCTAAATGTTACACACTGGTTTAAATCCAACTAGAATCAAAAAGACCAGGAAGCAGCTTTATGTTGTCAAGAAGTTGACATTAATTTCTTAATTAAATGTTTGTGTTGCATGTTCAGCACTAATTGACTTTAATGTCAGATTCTAGGGTTCCTAATGATGATTGAGGCAAACGCATCGGGGGAGAGACAAAGCAGGGATCATCAATACTGCCAGCACTGAGACTCTGTTGAAACAGATTTTCCCCATGAGCCAGAGGCCACTGAAGTGTTGCTCGTTAGCTTGTGTTTCTCTACTTTGGATTTTTGGGGGATGTGCCAAGATCATAATTTGCGTACCTGCTGCTGCTGCTGAAGAGTGGTTTGTAATCTTTTCGTGGTAGTACTGGTTTCACTTTCTTCCCTACAAAACAGGCCCAGTTGTTTCCCAGGACATCATGGACCCACCCTGGCAGGGTCTGGTCACAGTAGCTGGTCACAACAGAGCCATCTTCAGAGTACTGAAAGCACAGTGAGACAATCAGATTAAGGACTGGCATCCAATATGCAACTCATACAAATAAAAATGCAACTGAATTAACCTCAGATTATTCAGATTAATGTAAACTACATTATTCAGCCCATCACGGAGTTATAAACTTGACAAACAAAATCTTCTCCCAGTTCTTCTCATGTCACCACGTAGACCTAAATCAGCTACAGAATGGGGAAGTTGAACTAGACGTAGATAAATCATAATGTGGTTTTGAAGACAGGCGGGCTATGACACTTCCCTCAACTCAGTGTCATGTGAGTGACGAGAAATAACACATGACTGAAAGATTAACCTCGAATAGTGCATATTTCCATCACATTTCAGCCTGGCCTTGGTGTAATGATGATATGCATATTTTCCAGATACCATCTGGCCAGAGGAAGGGAGAGGAAATTGAGTGATGGTAAAACTAAATTGTTAACCCACAGTGAAACTTCCTTTCCACGTCATTTTCGATAAGTACTTAGAATGACTATAAATAAAGTTTGTGATCAGCTGGACTAACTTAGGGAACTTGAACAGTGCAGAACACAAGCTGAGTTATAATGTTACTTGTTCTTGTTAACTAGCCAAGAAGAAAAAATACTGAAAAGATCTTTTACCTTGAAGAAGCCGAACCATTTGTAGCCATTAATGACCACTTCGAAGCCCTGGTTGTAGATGATGGTGAAGAACCCGGTGTGCCCCAGCTCGTCTGTAGCTACAGACAGTTTCTCCAAGGTCACAGTCACTGTGCTCTCACCCGTCGCTGTGGAGCAACAACATACAGTAACTCAACTACCGTCCACTTTTAGTGTCATTTCCAATCATCAGTCCACAACAAAAACAGGATAATAATAAGTTCATATAACATTATTGGCACTGTGTGCGAGTATTGAAAAATGTCCCATTACTTAAAGGATCCACGATATGGTACAAACATCACATTGCAATTATTTTGACAGATATCGTGATTATGATTCACACTTATTACTTATTTTTGCATCACAAATTGAATTTGTACAAAATTTTATATATATATATATATATATATATATTTTAAATCACAATGATATGAAATTGGGTGTCTGTACCAAACAAACGGGCCTTCTTAAATCTGGATCAGAAGTTTTGTAGACCAGGGCACCTGCAGCACTACAGTACTTCATTATAATGCTGTTCTGTCTCACATTTTACTTTTATCGAAACATTACAGCCCTTGCAATCTGCATGCGATTTCGATAATATTTAAATGAATTATGCAGCCCCATATGAATTTATTTGTAATGGTCATGTAGGATCTGTAGACCCTTAAAAACACACACACACACACACACAGTGGGCAGCACTAAAGCAGGACCCTGTCAGTAACAATAATATAATACACAAATTCTAATCAAGAAATTCAAGAAAGATGATTCTCTCTTTCCCCATTCAAACCAGAAGAACACAAAGAGGAAGTGATCAGTGGATCAACTGATCGTCTCTGTCTGGACTCAACAGGCACAAACATGTCACATGATTTCCAAATTGCGAAACTACATTGTCATCTCATCTGATCGGTCCCGTGGTGGGAGCTCTTTATACCGAGGTGTTGGGGGTGGGTTTACCTTCAGCGGAGCAGTTGATGGTCTTGTCGCGTCCTCCTTTGGACACCTGGAACACCCAGGTCCCCACCAGGTCCTCATAGGTGCAGTTGGCCGGTGTGTCACCCCACGACCCCTCAACCCAAAGCAGGAAGACGCACACTAGCACGCCGCTCAGCCTCATCTTCACACACAGCTAGCTTACCTGCACACACACATATACACACACCTCTCAACAACTGACGTTACGCAGCCAGATGTGCGTCTTCGGAGAAAAGCCAAAGAAGTTCGACCCTGTGTGTTTTTACACGCCACCTGTCTCACTTTGACCCTTCTGTTGCCCCCTGTCTTCTCTCCGCTATTTATGCAAACTGAAACTTTTTACAAAGATCCGCATTTCAACTGCGGTTCAAGATAATAAACGCGCATGCGCACGATAAGCTACCAGTGTAGCCAGCTAGCTAACGTTGGCGGCAGTTAAAGCAGATCTACGCAAACAGGTTTTTAGATATTAGTACTAATACGAGAGTATTAGCTCGTGTGTACTAATTCAATAACATATAAACCAGCTCTAGCCTCGCTGTAAGTGCCTTAACGTGATTTTACACTGTTACACGTCTCCTCTGTCAAGTGAGATTTGAGCGAACAAGGAAGCGCCCCGCAGCTAACTCTCTGTCTCCACTGGTTACGGTTCTTTGTCTGTTGTTGGTTCTTTGGTTTCGGTTTCCTTGTCATGTGACCGGACAGCTGGGAGCATGCGCAGTAAAATAAGTTCAGTGGGGGTTGTATGTTATATTTAAAAACTTTATACTTTAAAACTGGTGTTTATTTATTGTTTTGTTTTTTGTTACAAATTATGTTTGCTTTAATATATTTCTGATTGATTGCCAGAAAAAGTATACATAAAATGCATTTGTAAATGGTTAAAAAGGTTTTTTAAATAAAATACAAGTATTGCTGGAATATTAAGCCCAGTTAGACTGGTATGCAGTCTTTAACATCCACCCCTTAAGAGTAGCCTATGTAATGTGTTTTTAGAACCTGGGTTTTATTTTAGTTGTTTTGGTTATACTGTAGGCAGTGTTCACAGCACACAGGCTGATTGGTTACATTTTATAATTACAATACAATACAATTATAATTGTATGTTATAGGCTCCTGTAGGAACAGCAGTTCAAGAGGGCAGACTCTGAGAAGAGGACCCACTCTTTATGTAGATAAAAAAGGCTCAATAACTATAATCAGATGATTAGACGTTAATTAAACCGGACTATGAATATTATGTTCCATTTCTGCCAATAGATCCTCCTAAATGTTACACTATGGACCTTTAAGTCTATCACATTGAAAATTGGTCATAAATTATAGGCCTATGTGTTAATTCCTCTTTTTTTAACCTGTTATTCTTAAAATGAATTCAAATTAATGTGTTAAATTTTATAGCATTTGACACCAAACTGAGGTGGCAAGGCACATTTTAGGGGTGGCAGCTTCCAGCCCATGCCTCCCCTCTCAGCTCCAGCAGGGTTTGCAAAGTCTAATAATTGTTTGGTTAAAAAGATCTGTATTTCGGGTGCTCTGTCCTAGATTATTTACCCTCAGAGCTTAAACACATTCTGTTGAAAAGCCAAAACCCCTCAGAGTGGAAGCAAACTAGGCCTAGTGCCACATAAAAGATTATCTTATACTTCTTAGATCATCTTTTACCATCTCTAGCTCTGAGAGTCAGAGGATGAGATACAATCACTGTTGATACTGTTTTTTGGAGGGGTTTATGATCATATTTTTACAGTCATATATTACTGCTGTATGTTATGTATGTTTCACTCTTGTAGGGTTGGGGGAGTGGGGGTCTGACATTACATGACAGGTTTGTAAAGCTGTGAGCTTTGTGTTCTGAAACCAATAAAAATATGTTTAAAAAAAAGAGATCTGTATTAGTAATTTGGTTGAAACATTAACAGAGTCTGTGATGTTGTGTGTGATGAGCCGGAAGGACCAAATGACATCACATCAGGAGCTGGTGGCGAGTGGAGCTGCAGCAAATTGCCGTACACATAGAGAGGCTCACAAAGGTGATCTGAGGTTGATCTTGGAGGTTTGAACACATCGAGCCCCAAAACTAACCTTTTCCAATAGTTCATGTAAGAGGACAATTGGATTTAATGGATCTCCTGTTGTTCCTTTGGGTGTGCTGCTCAATTATTGGTACTTTTCCTTTTCCTTTTGTTTATAATGTGGTATTCTAATAATCCCTGTGGGGAAATTCTCTTTTCACTTGCCTCCTGAGGCATGTCAGAGAGTCAGCTTGCCTGTATGTGTGTGTGTGTGTGTGTGTGTGTGTGTGTGTGCGTGTGTCCATGTGTCATTGTATCCTGATCGGTCTGTAGTTAAAGGGGTTAAAGAGCTTATTTTAGCCAGTGGGCACTTAAGGGAAGTGCTGGAGGCTTTGATCACCATAGTAACCATGACATAGACTGACTCATCTCCTTGACAGACCATAATAAGCACTCATCTGAAGAAGGGACTGAAGAGGTATTAGTCATGCACTCTCATTAGTGCCATTACAATGTGTTTGTATGGAAGTGTGTGTGCATTAGTGTGGGCAAATGTGTATGTTATTGCATTTACGTGAATGTGTGTGTGTGTGTAATGCAAAATAGAGGAGTGGGGAGCAGGGAGACAGAGACGGAGGGATGGTGTTATGAATGTTAACAGCCTGAGCCCACTGAGCTCCCTCTGAGAGTGACTCATTGAAACTCGTGTTTCAATCTTGATATTGTTCTCGCTTCCACTGGCAGGAAATTAAAACTCAAGTGACTTTCAGTTCTGCTATATTGGCACCCACAGATTTGTTCCCTGCTTGCTTGGTTTCCTCTCTCTCTCCATCACACTTTCCCCTCTTCTGTCGTGCCTTTTTGGTTCCTCTGCTCTCAGTCTGTCGTCCCCTTGCTGTTGCTCTCCATACTTCCGACTTGTGTTGTTAAATTTTTTGTGCCTGTTTCCCCAACACACACACACACACACACACACTCAAGCTCGGGATGTGCTTCACTAAGAGACATTATGTGACTGTCTGTGAACCTGTATACCTTCCTCTTAAACTGATTTTCCATTTGGTCTATAAAATGTCATAAAAATGTTTTTAAAAAAATAAAAAAAACAAATAAAAAACCCCCCATCACAGTTTGGCTGAGCCCAATCAATGTACATTTACAGTGATATAACCAAGAGAAAAGAACCAGATCCGGACATTTGAGAAGTTGGAGTCACAGAATATTTTTGGTATTTTTGCTTGAAAAGGGACTTAATGTGTGTACAGGTGTACAGTATGTGTATGAGCATAATAAGAATGCCTCTATCTATATTTCCCTTCTTTGTATTCCCCGCACAGTTTCTCTTCCTTGAACTGCAGCAGAGGTTAACATTACAGTTATGCAAATGCTAACTCTGAATGAATTGCTGAAATTAAATAATAAAGTGAAATAATAAAAGGAATTAATGAAACCGTTCACCGGTTCTCAGTTCACACCAGCTGAGTTATGTCTGAAGCTGCTAAATACCTGATGAACATTTGTGACTAAACTGTCTTTAATTTATATATTAACATGCTGTTTGAAAGCCATTCAGATCTTGATGTCGCTTATGTGTCATCTAGAAAACACTTTCAGTCAGTGTGTTAATCAGTGATGGGCTAGTAACTCAAAACAATCAAATTATTACACATCACTCTTTTCAAAAGTAATATTATTACTTTACTTATTACTCCCAGCCAACAGTAATTAGTTACACTACTAGTACTTTTTTGCTACAAACCACAAAATTGGTTATTGTGTCCCTTCTTCCCAAAATTCTGACTTTTGACGATTGAAATTAAGTTTTGTTTGTTAAATTCAAAGTAATATTAGGGAAAGGTAATAAGGAATATTTTCAGCCACTGAATACGTGTTTCATCAATTTTGGGGTGCCAACAAAAGTAATGTTGTAACTAATCATTTCTTAGGGGGGTAACTGTAATATTATTACTAGTAATGAGTCACTGCCACAATGGTGTTTAGTTCCACTTGATGGCAGCTTTATGATGATTTCCACAGTCAACTGTGTAACGACACCTGTCAGCAGTACCGACATCAGTGCCTTTTTCACTGCTTTTTGTTAAAGAATGCAAGAGCTGCATTTCATTAAACTGGAGGTGTGGGTGGAGCCACTCCATCACAGAGTGGGGTTGGCCACTCCAGCCTTCTGGTGTTAATGTTACATCCTTCACATTTAAATTAAGTCCTCTGGAGTGGCTTCACGGTCAGTTACCTCAGCCATATGCATACACCTACACACACTGTGGAAAGAAATGTTTTCACCTTCCTTGTACATATGTCAATGCCCACACATGCATACTATATACATGCAGCAAATGTATGTATGTAATGTGTCCACACACACACAATCTGACATTCACTCTTAACCACATGCTGACACCTCTTGCCCACACAGACTTTATATATAGAGCCAACATACCATTACCAGGGAACAAACAGCACTCAACATTGATTACAGTAAATGTATGATGTGGGACACACAGGTAATACAGGATTACTGTATAATGTATGTATTATTCTATTTTTTTACTGCCATGCAAAAACATAGTCTTACTTCTAAGCACAATTATTCATTTGCGAAAAAAGTCCAATGCACTCTCACCATCTTTCTTTTAGGACCAAACACAGTTCACAGCTGAGTACATGGGGGTGTAGTGGAGAAAATTAGGGGCTTTTGTAACGTAATTTCTATCAATCTCAGAAAGGCTGCATTTTAAGGTATAAGAGATCAAATTGGGGTATCTGGATCTTCATGTTCCTTTTAGTCATTCACTGGAAACATGCCAGCTGAGGCATTTCGATCATATTATTTTCTATGTTGACGTAAGTGTTTGACCATGTGGCAAATCACTGATTGCAGTTAAAGGAATAGCTGGACGTGGAAATCCACTCAGTTGTTGCCGAGAGTTAGATGAAAAGATTAACACCAGCCAGTTAGCTTAGCTTAGCATAAATACTGGAAATAGAAAGAAACGTCTAGTTGCCTGCTAGCACCTCTGAAGCTCACTATTTAACACATTATATCTGTAATCAAAGACTCTTGTTAACACCGCAAGGTTGCCGAGCAGCCAGCAGAGCCTTCAGATACTGAAGAACTAGGTTCACACATCACCCTCCATAACACCACAACATGTTGTCTTTAGTGAACTTGGTGGGCGTATTTTGTTACCTTCGGACTGAGCCAGGCTCGCTGTTTCCTTCTGCATCCAGTCTTTATGCTAAGCTAAGCTAACCGGCTGCTGGCTATAGCTTCATATTTGGTGAACAGCCATAAGAGCGGTAC